AAAATGAAAATATTTTAATTTAAAAAAATGAAAATATTTTAATTTTTAGTAATAGATATATTAAAATAATATAATTATAAAATATTTTTTATTTAATTTTTTACAAATACTACTAATAAACATTTATCCCTTTAAAATGACGAAACAACACCTAAGGTGTTGTGATCTAGTTAACAAAAGATTTACTTTTTATTTTATTAATCAAAATTTCATCCCTTAATACTTTATAAAAAAATAATTTCTTCGCAATTTTTTTAATTTTTATATAAGTAACCTTTTTTTATTGGGTAGCGCGGCAAACAAGACACAATAACAGGTAAAAAAAAAAAAAGCCAAAACAAAGCCTCCTTGACCGTACAGATTGAAAATTACGTTGTTCAATTGAAAATAGTTAAGAAAACATATTTTGAACGCAAATAAATAAATAAATAAATAGATTAGGGGAATATAATATTGCAGATCTCATTGCCCACTGCTGATTTGCTTTTCTCAAAGTCAAACCCTTCCCCCTTTCTCTAATTTTTTTTTTTTTAATTTAAAGAATTTAAGGATTCATAATCTATGACTAAATTGAATTTAAAAAATGTGGTCTTAATTAATGGCATGAATATTATACTTAGCTTGAGTATTATTGAAGTATTGAACGGAAGAAGTAACAATTATTTCTTTTGATTATTACTATTATAAATTAAAAATACTGAAGACCAGTTGCAAGAATCTACAATTGAAAAAATAAAAAATGTAGGGACTTTAAAGGATGATTATATATTATTTTAAAGGAAGGAAGGTTAGACAAAAGCTTACTTAGGAGAACAACGGAAATTTTTGTGTTGGTTATATTTTTTTTTTTACTAAACTCTTAGTATTTAAAAGTTTTATTAAATTTTAATTATTTAAGAATTAATGTACATCAAATTCTAAATGAAAAAAAAAAAAACTTTTTTACCACTTATTTTTTCATTTGTAAAATTTAAACTTTAAATTAGACTTAAAAAAAAATTTTCATCTATTTAAATCAACATGTTATTTGTGTTGGTTGCATGGTATACCCTTTTGAAAAATTGTTTTATGTTTTGGTTATTTTCTGATATTTTATTTCGAGTTCACGATAATGTTGATAGAATTATGGCACTTTAATATCATTTGAGTTGTGATAGCATTTTGGCTTGAGACGTTAAAGTGTATAATGTGTTATTGTTTTTCTATTAATAGAGATTATGCTTAGTATAATAAAAATGATATTTATAATATTATGTGATGTTGTAAATTTATAATATAAATATAAGAACTATAAATAAAAACATGTTTGGTTTCCTTTTTATTTTTAACAAAATATTATAATCATTAGAAAAATAGATGAGAAGAAAAAATATTTTTAATAACACAAAACAAGTTTTAGTTTATTTGTCAATTTTAAATTAGTACTTAAACAACTTGTTTGTTTTAGTATAGGCTAAAGGGGCTATTTGCATCCTCCACTTAATTGTTTTTCATGATCAACACCTTCCAAAATTTTTCCTCTCTATTCACACCCTTAATTTTTTAAAACTCGTGAAAAACCCAACATTTTAACGTGCCGTCATGGTATCGTTACAAAATGCACTACGTGGCACTATATGCCGTTAATAATCCAATGTGGATCTCTTTTTTAATTATGTGGCTTATTTTACACACTTTTTTAATGATGTGACTTATTTTACACACAAGTGGACACCGCATCATTAAAAATAAATTTGCATAACCATTTTGGGAATTTAGGGTTTATTGTCATCCCCTTCTTAATCTTCCTCGAGCTTTCCATCCATGGTTCTAATGGAGGTTGATTCAAATTGAAAAGAAAAAAAAAAGAATAATCTTTTAATTCATTTGCAAGAAACGTTGAGAACCAATCAAATAATCAAATCGTCATCTTATTATTCTATCATAACCAGAAACAATCACAGAAAAGAAAGGCGAAAGAAAGGTACAAACTGGGTTCCTCACGAACCCAGCTCTGTGGAACCCAAAGTTGGGTTCGGCAAAAAAAACTAGCCGCAAGCCTCCCCCCCCTTTAGACTCCGATCTTCATCATCCCATCATCATCGATCATCACTCTTATCACCATCACCCTCATCAATCCCCAAGCAACCAAAAAAAGAAAAAATTCTTCTCCCAGCTTCTCTCCAGCCCCCCTTGAATTTCCATCTTCCCACCATCTTTGCCGATCATTACTCTCATCACCTTCACCAATCATCAAACAGCCACCATAAAAGATCAAAAACAAAAGAACAAAAATTCATAAAAATCACTTCCCAAATCTATAAAAAAAAAAAAAATTCAAACTCATCCATCTCTTTCTTCGACGTTGATGTTGATGTCGAAATCGAACGCATGAATCGTCTGAATCTTGGAATCCAAGGATTAGGGCAACTGGGTTCGACGAACCTAGTTCTAAGTTCCACGAGGAACCCAGGAGGATGATGTTCTGGGTTCCTCGTGGAACCCAGTTCTAGGTTCCTCGTGGAACCCAGCAACTGGGTTCCTCGTGGAATCCAGCAACTGGGTTCGACAAGGAACCCACTGGGTTCGTGGAACCCAGAAGGATGATGAAGAGATGGTAAAGACGATGCTGAGGGTGAGGAGAAGGAAGAAGATGAGCAAAAAAAAATTTTTTTTTTCTGAACAAGCAAGAAGATGAGAAAATTAAAAATTAAAGTTAAATATATTTTAATTTATTAGTTCTAGTTTTTTTTTTTTGGAGTTATTCACCAAAAAATTATGCCACATCATTAAAAAAAAGTCTACATTGGATTAAAAAATATTCACATTGGATTATTAACGGTACATAGTGTCACGTTAATTTTTGTGTGCCACGTAGTGCATTTTGTAATGGTACCATGATGGCACGTTAAAATGTTGAGTTTTTCACGGATTTTGAAAAGTTGAGGGTGTGAATAGGGAGAAAAAATTTTGGAAGGTATTGACCGTGAATAACAATTAAGTGAAGGGTGCAAATAGCCCCTTTGGCCTTTAGTATATCTAACAGAGCCAAGTACCTCATCAAACAAAACAATTTTTATTTTCTACTAGTTTTTAAGCCGATAAAAAGAATTTAAATAATTAGTTAAGTCAAAGAAAATCAATAACATAATAATATTTAAAGTTAACGACTTAAATAATTCAGTGGTAGTCACTTTCTGTTAAAAATAAGAGGTCTTAAGTTCAAATCACATTATATGCAGGTGAAATGAAATAAGGAATAGGAGAGAGTTGTCTCCCGTTGTATAACTAACATTAAAAAAATAATAATATTTAAGATTTTCTTGCAAAAAAAAATCAATAACATAATAGTATTTAAAAATTTCTTCCTTTTTGCCATTAGGCAGGGCAAGAATGATTACGGGCGTGTCTTAAATATACATCAAGACTTCAAGAGAAAGGTCAGAGTTCCGCAAGTTGCTTGAAAGAACTCAACATGATATTATTCCTTTCCAAATGATTATATAGATTTTATTCACAATATATATATTTACAATAAAAATCTACTGCTTAAAGTTGTAAGAGTTGAATTTTTTTATCTTATTTTTAAATTAATTTTTTTTTATCTTGATAGCACAATAAGAGACAAACATTTTACATCCCTTATCCCATTTTACCTGCATGTCATGCGACTCAAATTTAAGATATTTTACTACTAACAAAATAAGATGATCACTCAATTATTTAGGTCGTTAGTAAAAATTTTAAATTAATGAGTATTAAAGTTTTTTTTAATTTTTTTTATACATTATGTTGACAATACGTATTGACGACATTATAGTAATAGTTGAATAACATTTGTTGATATGTAACAATAGGTTTGTACTGATATTTAATCAGAATATATCAATTTGTCTGATGCTATTAACTTGTTTTAACGAATAAAACTTGTCAATGAATTGTTGGTGAATTATTATTGTCCTTATTCCTTTGCCAAGAAGGCCAGCATACTCCATTACCTATGTTTCTCATTCTTTTGATGGCATTCAAAAAAGATTATGCCTCAAAACTTGAATTTGCCTTTCAACATCATTACACAGGGTTCCACTAAGAAATTTTTTTAATTGACAAATCCAACAATTTATTCCAGCTGAAGGATCTCTAGGGGAAGGTTCTGGTCCAAATCACAAGACCAAAAAGCAGAGAGTTCTACTAAATTCTTTGCTAAAAAGAATAAACATAATCAGCTGCAATTCAAGAATTCTGAACTTAGCAAAGAGTGACATTTGAAGCAAAGGCTAAACAGACTCATAGTCATCCATTCGCAAGGAAATGAAAAATACAAGAGGATGAGTAAAGAGATCACACTAGTAAGAAGCTAAATAGATAACCACCACATTTTACATGTTGAAGAACTGACTCCTCACGTATATTACCCAAAATTGTTCCACAGAAGGTTACAGAAATCTCCCATAATTAATTTTGTCAATCCTGACCCCCCTTCTTCTTCTTCTTCTCTTTCTTCTTGTCCTGCATTTCAGTTTCTTCTTCGTCTTGCTCCTCATGCTTTCTCTTCTTCTTCTTCTTTTTCTCCCCATCTTCTTGTGTATCATCCTCAGCAACATGTTTCTTTTCCTTCTTTTTCTTCTCTTTCTTACTCTTCTTTTCTATTTCTGCTGACTCTTTAATTTCTTCTTCCTCTCCATCAGCCTCTGAATCAGTTTTCTTCTTCTTTTTCTTCTTCTCTTTCTTCTCTTCAACAGTAACAGGAGCCTCTATTTCCATTTTCTGAGGTTTTGCCTCAGCCTTCTTTTGCTCTACTGTTTGTGCAAGAACAGAATCTGCTGCAGGATTATAAGTCTGCAAAGTAGCAAGAGAGTTAGGACTGTTAAAAAAGAAAGTTAAAATATTGAAATAACATACAAAATGAAATGGCATACCTTCGCTGCAGTTATCAACCCTCCAGTTCCCTTCTTTCGATCCTTATCATAGACCTCTATCTTAGGCTTGCCTTTAGCTGAGCCAGCAGAACGTCCCAATTCTTTGCCTTCAAGATTCCTCAGTCGTGCTTCAAGCTATAATTTATAGTGTGCAAGAGATTCCTCTTAGTAATTTAAGAAACCTTAACAAGGATCACAAAACTCAAAGACCATTTTGTAATTACCTTGGCTCGGTTCTCAAGTCCCATAGAGTTATCTTGAGAATCTCCAAGAGCATCACAACGAATTGCTAAAGCAGCCTTTGCAGCCAGTGATCTAGAAATCTTGCCCTTGTGCTTGGGTGCTGCCTGACCAACCACAGATGCATGGTAGATAAGACCATATTTAGGAGTTGCATGCTTTGTCTTAAGAGCTCTAAATAGAGCCTTCTCTGCACCAAGAATCTGAACGGTGCTCCCAGGCTGTTTTGCAAGATTCAACAAGCTACCTCCATGAGCAATGAGGCGTGCACCAACAAGCTCTCCGACCAGAGCAGTCAAATTTGGTGCAACTGTGTTCATCCTGCTTTTCAAATAATCATATAATTGGGCCCTATATTCAGCAAGAGACAGAACCTGGTCACAGAGTTCTTTGATATTTATCAGATCAAGGTCACTAACTTCAGTTCCCATAGATATGACTGATGCCTCCTTCAATTCTGTTTCAACTTCTTCTGGTAATACCTGTGGAAATTATAGAAAGAAAACTTAAAAAGATGACCAATCCATATTTCATAATTGATTTTGATCTCATAACATGCTAACAGTCTATCATCATTGGGAGGGAAGTTGAGCAATCCATCATTTTCTCACTTAAGCTGATGACAGAATACTCATGGGCAATTCTCAGAGGAAGTTGGCAGTTTAGATGCTAGCAAAAAAGAATATGAAATGGCAAACAGAACTTCCTCATCCATTAATTTCACTGGTGCTGACTGGTGAAACCTTAGCTTACCTCAAGAATACCACCAGCAGTTCTTTCAGCACTCTATTTAAAGCTCAAAAGCAAGAAAAATGCCAAATTTTCACAGGCCCATTGTACCCTCAATATCGCAATGCTTTGTTCACAATAACTTCTATTAAGTCAATTAGAATCCTTACCCCTGAGAAGTCAAGCTTGGCAGCATTTGCACGCTCACCCATTAGCTTCACTGTCTTAGCATAAAGGATGTTATCCTGTACAATCTTTGCAAGCTCAGGAAAATGCCAACCATACCATTCACGAACTCTCATTGCATATGTGTTGAGCTCTTTATCAAGATCATCGAGCAAGCCAATGGCCTGAACAATCATCGTATCTACCTATAAAGACAGACAAAAAGGAATTAGGGTCATTTAAAGCTAAAAATCACCTCTTGATGCTTGAAATTACTCAAAACAGAACAATTAATAAAAAATTAGCAGAAAATATCAACTTCAGAGTTCAGACTACATATACTACAGTATTGAGCTCTCTGCTCAAAAATAAATGATCCTCAAAAGCAGGATAGTATACAATCAGTTTCATACTGCATAAATAATCTCTGAGACCAATGGATGATAACATAGCAGTTCACATGAACAACATTAGTCAATTCCAGAAAGCAATAGGAAAAAACTATAGAAGGGATAATATCAACTTCACATGATTGCACCAATAACAAAGAACTAGAGAAGGGATGAGAAAAAACTTCAACTCCACTATTAATTGAAGTACCTTATCTTTCAACCAATAAAAAAAAAAAAACAAAAAAAAACAAAAACGAAGTACTTTATCTTTGGACCATAAGAAATTGAAGTACCTTATCAGCACTGAACTTCAGCTTGTATCTAGATAAGCTATGAGATAAACCCAAGCTCATTGGCGCCAAATCCTGAACTCCTAAGCCAGAAATGAGTTCAGTCAACTGACTCCTCACACCTCTTAACAACTCCATTACAGCATTACTGTGAACACATTCTATTTTCTGCAAGGAAGTATCTCTCCAGCTTCAGTAAAAACAAAATACAATTATATTGCAACAGATGAATGTTACAGGTGCATTGCCCCAATAAATAGTAACAACATACCAATTTCTCCTTAATGGCATTTCCAAGCTTTGAATCAGCCACTCCCAATGTTTCACCTTCACAATGAGCTTTCAAGAATTTGCGCAGACCTTTGCTGGGAGTGCCTTCAATCAGTTTTGTAATTGCTTCCAAACCTTCTGCTGTGTTTTCAAACTTGGAAAAGGCTTTCAACTTCACCATCTGATGTTAGCACATGAAGCACATCAGTACATAATCAGACTTCTAGTGAACCTACTATTTGACATAAACCATAACAAGAGAACTAATGACACATAAACCATGCACCCCAACATCCAGAAACCATCATCTTTTTACTTTTGGTAAGTTAAAAAGAGGACAGAAAGTACCCTTCTTGCCGACTCTGCATCCAAGAAATCTCTCTGCAAGTCCTGTAAAACAACCACAATTTTTTATAAGAAGTTAAAACCCGAATGTTCAAATAACAAATCAAAAAAGCCAGCCCGCTTCCAATTTTGATTGAACTGATCTTTCAAATTTCATATCTACCCACAAAAATAATCACCGTGCAGAAACAAAATGTCACTCCATCCTAAAGTTTCTCGTCATCATCCAATACAAAAAGGAAAAAAAAAAAAAAAAAACAAAAGAACTTGAAGATTACTTACCTCAACTCTAGATAGTTTCCCTTCATCCAAAACTTTAAAAAGGGCAAAGCCCGCCGGAGTCTCAAACAAAACAATCATCTTTCAATCTGCCAACCTGAAAAACATCATCACCAAGTTTCAACCACCCAGTTGATTTCATGGGCAACCCATAACTAAAGTTTTCTCCTTTTTTTTTTTTTTCAACAAAATTTTATGAACAACCCATAATCAAATTCGAGCATTGTCATTAAACCCATCATCATAAACCTTAAATAAACCAAGAAAAAAAGGACTATTTCCCAGATTACCAGCTCTTTAGAGGAGAAAGAAAGAATCCTAACTGCTTACTACCTCCGCTGCGTTGGGTATAAGAGAGAGAGGAAGCGGAGGCAATAGGGTTTAGGGTTTTATTTGGAGTCGCTGCTTTTATTGGGGTTTTGTTCGTACGAGGACATTTTGGGAATTTAATGAAAATAGTATGACCTTTTCGGTAAATACGAAGTGTACGTGTCGAGTTTACATGGAGGGTGTAGCTTTAGTTTTGTGCAGCTGGACCTTTTAGGGTTTTTCTGGAGACAGCATTCAAATTGGGCCTTCGGCCCGCTAAGTGTTTTGGTAAGGAAAACAAGCGAACTTAACCCTTGAATTTGATGTTTTTAGCAATTAAGACCCTAGAAAAGGTTTTTGGTCAATAAAACCATCTGGCAGGAATCGTTTAAGAGAGAAATGTATGAAAGATACGATTAAAATGAAGAGTTATATATAATACCAATGACTTATTGGTCTGAGTGAAATAAGTACTGTTCTTTTTAAATAAAATTTTAAATTTGAATCTTATAAATGAAAAAATAAGTATTGAAATATGTTCTCTCTTATAAAGTTTGACGTGATTTAATTTTAAATTAATTATAATCTAATATAACTTTTGGATATGAGAGGTAGTATAAAAATAATAAAGATTTATATAGAATAAAAAAGGTACATTTAGTTTTTCTCATCTTTTAAGTCCCTCTTCCTTCATGTCATTTGCTTGAATATATAAAACTTTTCTTATTTCTATTAAAAAAATTACCACTAAGTTGCTTTGTTTATTGGCTACAACTTAATTGGAAATTAGACAGATATAGTTAGATGAACCCAAAAAAAGAAAAAACATCTTCCTAATCTTGTTAAAATTTTAATATATTGAATTAATCATTTTATTTTATTTTTTCCATTTCTAATAAAAAAATCTGCCTCAATGAATAATAATTCTTTAAGATACACTCAGTGAGGCCAACTCCGCCAGTAATTATCTTGCCGGCCAACATGGAGCAAAGTACACCATGGGGAACTTTTCATCTTGAACACAGCCCCTACTACACTGGCATTGAATTGAACCCATCTTAGGCTGTATTTAGGATTATTGTCCTACAGTGTCTTTTCACATAATACCTGATTAAATATGTTAATTTATTATAATTAAATTCGTTTTAGTTGATGATGTTTTGCAGGTATAATTTACTAATCATAAGGTGCATAACATTTGTTTTCAGAGTAACTATCAAAATAACACAACTTTTTTATTGTAACAGAATGCACATAAGACATGTCACAATACATGGCAATCATAAATGAAGCCTTAATATCAGGGTTTATTGTCTCAGACTATGGCTTTTGTTTCTAGTTTTGTTTTCTTGGACCAACAAAAAAAAGAAAAAAAGAAAAAAAGAAAAAAAAGAGAGTTTCTCTCAGAAGAAAAAGGAAATCAATAAAACCTTATTCTGCAAGCAACCATTCTACCCAACACATTTTTATTTACTTTATCACAAGAAAATAAATACTATAATTCAATGTAAATATTTTGTCCTTAACTGAATTTCATTATAAGAGAAGCTAACATGCATACATCCTGTAGTATCTATACCCCATCTATATATTGAGCTTATCAAGCTGAGAAGTTGCTTTTGAGACATCATCAGCTGCAGCACCTGCATCTTCCTTATCTTTGTTGGGTGACATCCCCTCCTGGTTGAAGCTTGGAATTTGTCTCGGTGGTGGAGCTGCACAGACTGGAACAACAGATCTGATTCTAACAGCCGGGGCCATGGAATTTGGATGCATACCACCTAAATTGATTCTATCAAATCTAGGTCTGGTTGGAGATGGTGCAGCTCCCGTTCTCATTCTTGGTGGAGCATGCACTGGGGTTGCTAAATTTTGTGATCTTGGTCTCATTGAAGAAACAGGAGCTACACTTCTGATCATCACAGGAGCTGGTGAAGGCAGTCTAGAGTTTTCATATTTAACTGCTCTTGGAGGATACTGGGGTCTAAGATAAGAATGAGAGGAATTGAAAGCACGGGAGCTTGCAAACTGGGAATTGGTAGGCCTAGCACCAGTATCAAATCTCCTAAGCGAAGCCTGTTCGGATTGGCCATTTTGATCTCCTTCACTTTGCATACTTCTAACTTTGCTTTCCAACTCAACATTCTTCTGCTTGTGATCCTCATTTGATTCCTCTCGTCTTGATTCAAAACTGGCATGACTAGGAACATGGGAGTCTAGAGCTAGAGGTGGAGAGAATTTGGTTGATTCTTCTGTTATTTCCTCTTGTATCTCTTGAATTGTCACTCTAGACTTACCCTTGCCTGAATCAGTGACTGTATCATTAGATAAACACAATGATGGCCTCGAGGTAGCAATTGTAAGCCTGGGCCTAGGGATAGGTTCTTGCACCCTTGCTGGAACTGATAGATGGTGATCTGGATGGAAAATAGACCGCATATGCGGTAGAATCTGAGCAACAGGTGGAGGAGCTGGGGCTGGAGAAACTGGAACTGTAAACAAGTGATTTTGCAACTGAAATAATTGTTCTTGCTGCCACATTTGGTATACCATCTCAGGGGAAAGAATAGGGTAAGGCCAGCTTTGGTTCCTTATAGAATATAAACTTGGTGTTGGTGGGGTCAGTTCCATGCATAAAGGTATTGATCTCTGCTTTTCATGTTGACGGTTATTTCTCATAGAGTGCCTTGATTCTAACTGTCGGAATGATGAAAGAAAACGTGCAACAACAACTTGTTCTTGTTCTTCATATGAGGTTGAGGAAGATGAGCCACATTGAGACACTGCATGAGCATTAAAGAAAATGTTTTAGAATATGGCTACAGATGTTTAGTTAAACTGCAACATGTTGCATTTCAGTAGAAAACAGATAAGAAGAAATTAAGAATCAACCAGATCCTTATTTTTAAACTCTATAAGAAAATCAATGAGAGTCATAACACCAGGAATCATATGCATAAATAATATTAACACTGTCAGTTTCATTCATCAACCCAAAGTCTCAACCCTCTCAAAAAAGAACAGTGAAAAATATGCTTGTATGATTCCAAATGGAGTAGAGATTGATCATAAATATAGCAGAGAAGACAAAAGACGCACATTTTTTAAGGGCTGACCAAGCAGCCATTGCTGCATTCTTCTGAGCTTGTTTCTTTGTCCTAGCTGGTTCACCAATGAAGCTCATTCCAGCAAGTTCAACAGTGCATGAAAAAGCAGGAACATGTCCTGGTCCAGATTTCATTGTGGTATAGACAGGAAGGTTCAAGCCAGCTCTGTGAGCAGTCTCTTGAAGCAAATTCTTGTAGACTCCAGTTTCATCCTGTGCAGTAGATACATAACAAAAGCATATTATTGAGTACTCTTTCCAGGGAGATTTTGAACAAACTGAAAAGAATGGTAGGAAATCAAGAACTCACATTACGCAGGATCTAGAATCATCTTAAGGAGAGAGGTAAGAAGGTTTCATTACCCAGCTTAACCTTGCTTTATATTCCCTCCAAATTATATTGGACTTTAACATTAGCATTAGGGAAACTTTTTTTTTTTTTGATAGATTTTATTAAAAATAAAAAAATAATCATCAATTACAAGTTACAACTCAACCATATGTCCCCACAAATAAACCAGTACACACAACAGGGAGGAAGACTAAAAAACAATGAGATTCAAATTTGAACCTGAGACCTAATGATTACAGGGCCTCTGTCCTTTACGATTGAGCCAAGATTTTATAGGGAGTGAACTTCTTTCTTCACACATTGCATTATTACTATGCTAAAGATTACCCTAGGCAGGAAGGAGCAAGAAAGGAAAAGATTACTATAAGGCCTTAGAAACTAAGATGTAGCTTCATAGTGAGCCTCTAGTTAAGAATTAGTTCTAGCACTTAGTAAAGTCTGATTTTAGTGAGTCAAAAACTTCCCTGTAGAAAGTTGGGGAATTAAAGAGAGATGTTCCCTAGATATACGAATGAGAAGACAGCATGCACTTTAAATAAAAGCAAAAATTTTGTCCAACCAAAAAAGTTCCAATTTCATCATTTACATAAATAAGTTTTCAAGACACCCAAATCGTTGCAATAGGAAGTTCAATTGTTAATAAGGGCTGCCTAATCTCATTGATTTCCAACAAGAGCTCCAGCTCACTCAAATCCTAGAACCAAACCTACAATAATGGTTTCCATATTCTTAGCAAGACAAGAAAAAGAGCAAGTTTATACATTCATGACTGGTTCTTAAGAGATTGCTCCTGTAGAACTAAGCTATAAGGTCTATAAGATTGACAATAATGGGAAAGAACTCCAAGCTAAGAGAAGATGTACTCTGTATTGAATAAATTAAAAGTTTTAGAACCTCAAAAGTTACCAAGCAGTTGTTTGAAGCTTAATCGAACCATGAATCAACTTGAGCAGTTGAAAACTTGAATTTCAGAAACAGCTCAGAATGGACCAATTATCAACAATGGCCATCCAGTAAGTGGGATATGAATAAATACTACTTTATCTTTCAAGTTAACAATTGCTGCCCTAGAATTAGAAAAGCAAAACGATAGAATGAATAAATTCTAATCAGGAAGAATAACTTTGAAAAAAAAAGAAAAAAAAAAAAGAAAGGGGTACAATCCCAGTAAAATGCTCACCAAAACTTTTGCAGCCAATGCTTTAGAAGGACCTCTATTAGCAAGTGTATTTAGAGCAACTTCAGCTGCAGCATGTTCTGCCTGTCTCAAGGTTGAACAAAAAGTAGGGCTTTCAAAAGTCTCTCCATTAAAGTTGACGGTGGCTTTAAATCGAGGAGCATGATCTGGTCCTTCTCGGATGCACGAATAAGCTGGCAGATTGAAGCAACTCCTTTGGGCCAACTCTTGTAATTGATTCTTAAACATACCTGTACAAGGTCAAAATACTGCATTTTAGAGAGAGCATTTAACATTGATCTGCTTATTAAATTGCTAACAGAAATGACCTCAGGAAACCAAACGGTGAAATTCCTCAATAATATTCCAATTAAAAAGCAGCCATCTGCCTTCCCTTACTAAATTATTATGACATTTTCCATTCTTTCAATATAACATTTATTGAGTGTAAAGAGAGGGGAAAATATAGAAGAGCAATAAATTTTGTTCTCACAAAATTTTCATTTCGTTTTCACAAAATTTTCATTTTGTTAATCTAGGGAATGTAAGTTTATATGTATTTCTCAAGCTTTCTTCTATGACCATATAAAAGTAGACTTCCTAAGCTGCCAAAGGAAGCATCTTTGTTGACCTAACAGCTAATATGCTTAAATCCATATTCAACAATCTGAGATCAGAATTCATACAACAAAATCATAATTTGCCCTAAACATTCCAACTGGTGGCAAAGAACAGTCCAAAAAGATTCCCTTTTTTTTTCTCCAGTCACAATGATCAAATACCCTAAACCCCAAAAGTTAACATTTCCTTTCTGATCACACATTTTATAACCAACCAAACATTACTAAAATCCAATAACCTTCAAATAATACCCAAAACCCACCTCGATCAAATGATCAAGAAAAACCCAACCCACAACTCCACAAACCTAAATTTCTGTTATCCATCAATATAGCAATCCAAAACCCATTACCCATCAAACAAAGAATCAGAATTGAAATACCGATCTGGGCACAACCCAAAAGTTAAACTTAAAACAGATTAAGAAAAAGGGGTAGCTAACCTTCTGGGTTTTCTCTCCTCTGTATTTGAATTTCAAAATTTTCTCGACAAAATGATGGAAAACTTTGGGGGGTTAGTGAGATAGTGACACTAGAAAGTGCAGTGAGAAAGTAGGCAGCAGCCAAGGCAGTGCAGATTGGATTTTCACGCCATTCTAGAATGAGAAGAGAGTCTCTTACTCCCTGGAATTTGATTGTTTCTCCCTCTCTCTACAATTTTGTGAGTGCTGACAAAATGCGAACTTTACTAAGAGAGAAGAAGAAAAACACTTGCTGGCTTCCGTATACATACAGATACAGTATTCATATTTTGTTTGTATCTGTATGTTTGGCACTTGAGACTTGAGAGGAAGAATTACGCTATGGGTATGCCTAATACCATTAAATTAGTTGGGTCACTTGAATTTTTGTTTTTTTATCTGAATTTAATTGTTAAGAATGATTAATGATTATGATAATTACTATTTATTATTTAATAAATTAAAATTAATTTCTAAATAAATATTTTTAAATATAATAATTAATTATTTAAAATATTATAAATTAATAAAATTATAATTAAAATAAAAAATTTTAACAAAATAATAAATGTCAATAACCCTAACAATAGCATTTATTTGATGAAAGAACTTTTTAAAAACTTGCTAAATTAAATTAAAGATATATATAT